CATGGAGAAAAAAAAAAAAAAAAAGGACCAGGTTGGCTGGTCTGATAGAGCCTGGTGAAACCCTGAGACTATGACTCTTAGCTGCCCTTCAGGTTTGGAATTGAACCCACTCCTGTGGCTTCCAGCCAAGCAAAAGACAGGCATATGAGTGAAGGACACAGAGAAGAAGTAACTATGGGGAGGAAGTGGGAAGAGAGCTGTTGCATTGTGGGAAATTGTAGTCAATGTCATGAGACAAAATGTGCATCAACTGCTGTGTGGAAAATGAATTTGCTCTGTAAACTTTCATCCAAATTAGAAGAAAAACTAAAAAACAAAGAAAGAAAGAGAAATATAGGTTTTGTAATGAAAACTTGAAAGAAATAATGCCAGCATTTATTACAAGCTTGCTGGTGTTGTTATTTGCCATTGAGTCGGACCCAACTCAGTGACCCTTCCTTGGGTTTCCAAGGCAGTATCACTAGGGAAGTAGATTGCCCAACCTTCCTTCTGAGGACTGGCTGGTGGGTTTGAACCTTCAGCCTTCTGGTTAGCAGTCAAGTGCCTTAGGCACTATGCTATCAGAGCTCCTATTACAAGCTTGGTAAATAATAATAGGGCTATAAACTATATATGTGTTTCCATTTTATTTTGTATAAAATAATAGTAAGTGCTTTCATTGTTATTTTATAAATGAGGAATCTGAGTCTTGTGCAAGGTTACATAGAAAGTGAGGACTCAAAATATGAATCCCAGGAAGTCTGACATTTCTTTAGTAAATAAACTATAAATGACGTTAAATAATACTAACCTTGAAGTCCAATATCCTTGCCAATAGGTGCATATTAGATTATCCTTTAAGCTTTTTGGCAGCTAATATATAAGTGAAGAGAAATAGTTGGCTATTTTACAATGTCTTATCAGTTAAATATTATCATTAAAAAAAGAGAGAGGAAACACATCACACTCCCCTTAAGGACCTACCCCATCAAATAACAATCTAAATCCACAAATGGAAACTATCCAGAAACACTCCCCACCCACTGTAAAGACTTCTGGTTCATTCTAGTTCCCTTTCCTCCCACTTTACCTCCATTAACTCCATTAAGTCCTGAGTCAGGGACCCCAGGAGCTCTCTGAAGGTCTGTTTTTTCCTCAGTACCCCCGTCCCTCTTGAGAATCAAGGGAATGTGGCTGTCCTTTAATGTAGGCAAGTGAACACTTAAAAAAAAAAAAAAAAAAAAAAAAGCAGCAGCAGCAGTAAAGACAAGAAATGTAATTGCTCTTGAAAATAGCTCCAGAAGACAATTTCAAATTAGGAATAAATGAACTCATCTAAGGTAAATTTGTTAAATTTTAAGACATTTGTAATTAAAATATTATTGTTTTATCAAGTAGAGGTAGTCTCCAACTTTGACGGAGTTCCATTCTGATGACTCCAGCGTAAATTGGTTAACTGAAGTCAAATACCTTTAAATTTTTTTTTCATTTTCCATAGCCATACAGCATACAGCATAGTTATGCTGTAGTGTTTTGAGCAGTAAATTTTAACACTGAGCATCTGTGAGTGAACATCTGAGAACAATACATCAGCAAACTATGCATTGCAACATGGCATGTCATACATATTAGTAATGATAAGATAAAAAAACAAAGCAAGCCAATGGTTTTAAGTGTGATTTATCGTAATTTCAATACATTGTAAGTTGGGGACTACCTGTAGTTTGAAATACCAATTTAATCACTATGTAAAACATTATGTGATTGATAATCAGGATATAAATAAAGTACATGACTGCTAACCCAGAAGGCTGGCGGTTCAAACCCACTAGCCACTCCTCTGAAGAAAGTTGGGCAATCCTACTTCAGTAGTGATACTGCCTCGGAAACCCAAGGAGGGGTTGCTATGAGTCGGGGCCGACAACAACAACAACAACAACAACACATTTATTTAAACAAATAAAATACTTTCTCACTGTAATAATATTTTCTAATTGGAATACTGTAGAACAAAAGTAAATTATTTTTCACATAATATACAGCTGAATAAAGTGTAACCTAAAAATTTAAGAAATTTATCGCAGATCATCCAGCTAGTGGTTAGGTTAGCCCTCATCACCAAATTTTTCACTTGATATTCTGAGCTTTTCCAATGTTAACACATTCAGACCCACAAACAGTAAGTTTTTCTGTGAAGCTATTTACACAGAAAAAGTGTGCAAAGCATCTCAAAGCTAGTAAATTGAGTAGCATTATGGCTACTTATGTTGTTTAGATAATTTTAAATGACTATATGAGTTTCTACTCATACGCAATCCTGATAACTTTGATTATCCCTTTTCATTTACATGGGGGCTCTGATAGCATAGTGGCTAAAGCACTTGACTGCTAACCAGAAGGCTGGCGGTTCAAACCCACCAGCCACTCCTCGGAAGGAAGGTTGGGCAATCCTACTTCCGTAGTGATACTGCCTCGGGAATATGATTGTGGCAACAGAGTAATTCAGCCAAAGTTTCATATTCGACTCATAGTGACCGCTCCTTAGGTTTCTCAGGCGATATCTCTATGGAAGTAGATTGCTCAGTCTTCCTTCTGAGGAATGGCTGGTGGGTTTGAACTTCCAGCCTTCTGGTTAGCAGTCAAATGCCTTAATGCCTACGCCACCAGAGCTCCTTGCTGGATTATAGTTACCTTGTTTCCCAACTTTGGCTTGTGAGTACAGACAACTTTAGAGACTAATATGTTCTTACTTGGCAAATGAAAACCAGTAAACCAGACTCATTAACAAAACAAAACAAAAATCTTACCTCATGCAATAAGAACTCACTCATCTTTCAGTAACAATTCTAATGGCGTTGTGGTTATACAGCTATGTCTTTTATTATTGTTTGCCTTTAGGGATAAATCTCTGAAGATTCTAGAGATTTAAATGTGAGTTGCAAAGCACCAGAGAGCATTATCATGTTCTGGATTGGATACAGAGCACTCAGTTCACACAGGATTCTGTGAATTCTCAAGTGGTCAATTTATTCTTTAGTTTCTCCATGCATAATTGTATAACTTTCATTTAATAATTATTGAGGAGTATAATATAAATTATCTTATTAATAAATAAAGCTAAGGTTAGTTTTTATACTGAAGTTTAGTACTGAGTATACTTTCAGTATGGATTATACTTTAACATAAAAAAAAAAAAATCCTCACAAATGGACCAATAAGCAATATTGTGATAAATGGAGAAAAGATGTAAGTTGTTAAGGATTTCATTTTACTTGGACCCACAATCAATGCCCTTGGGGGCAGTAGTCAAGAAATCAAACAACATATTGCATTGGGCAAATCTGCTGCAAAAGACCTCTATAAAATGTTTAAAAGCAAAGATTTCACTTTGAAAACTAAAGCAGGGTTGACTTAAGCCATTAAGTCAACATTAAGGCATTTTCAATAGCCTCAAAGGCATGTGACAGTTGGACAATGAATAAGGAAGACTGCAGAAGGATTGATGTATTTGAATTACAATGTTGACAAAAAATACTGAAAGTACTATGGACTTCCAGAAGAATGAATAAATCCATCCTGGAAGAAGTGCTGCTGGAATTCCCCTTGGATGTGAAAATGGCCAGACTTCGTCTCACCTATTTTGGTCATGTTGTCAGAAAGGACCATTCCCTGGAGAAAGATATCATACTGGTTAAGTGCAGAGTCAGCAAAAAGAGGAAAACTCTCAACAAGACGTATTGACACAGTAGCTACAATGCTGGGCTCAAGTATAGTGAGGATGGTGCAGGACCAGGACAATGTTTTGTTCTGTGATACACAGGGTTGCTATGAGTTGCAGCCAACTTGCTGGCACATCATAATAACAACAACACACCTAAATATTGGTTCCAAGTTCACTTTGATATTTCTGATTAACATATATTGTTCTTAAGTGCTGTCAAGTCAGTTCCGACTCATAGAAACCCTATGTACAACACAACGAAACACTGCCTGGTCCTGCACCATCATCACAATTTACTGCATCAATTTATCTCATTGAGAATTTTCCCTTTTTTTGCTGACCATCTACTTTACCAAGGGTGATAGTTGAGGTTGTGTGTCAACTTGGCTGGACCATGATTCTGAGTGGTATAAGCAGTGGTGATGTGCTTGTTCCCATGAGATCTGATGTATAT